TTAGGTGATGTAAGATGGTGAGATGATAAAACCCCATTCGCGCGCGCGGACTATTCGCGAAGTTGAAAAAGAAGGAAAACGGAGACGGTAAATAGCCAATGTCATCGTTGCTATAGCAATCAAGACGCTGAACACCGCCTGGCGGTAGTAACAGAAACTAACAGCCGGGATAAATGGAAAACAAAAAAAGATGCAACACTTTTAAAAGAACAGATCTTTCAGTTCTGCTTGAAGAGTTGGTGCCCGGAGGAATTTTCTCGCTATTCTCTGGTTATAGAGAGGAAAATTTTCGGTTCTTTCATCTCGTTTATTGAATAGTTTGCGGTATATTAGTATTTCCATTTCTTGTAAATTGTGGCTTGGGAGAAAAACTCTATACACGTTTCGTGTATTTTTCAACATATGCTCAACATTTTTGCTCTAGGACTTATGTGAAGAGAATTCAAACTATATATTAACTTTGGACGTTAGAAACTAGAATTATAGAAAACGTTTATACGAACTTTGGACAATGGGAATGAAATATTTCCTTTACTTCTTTCTAGTAGTTATAAGTAAGTAGAGTTTTATTTCCTTTGGTTAAATTCAGGTGTTTAGAAGTTTTTATAGTTTCATAAGGATTAGGGCACCCAGTTTTCTAATCGTTAAAAAATATAAGGTATTTATTTCCGCTGAAATATTAAAACATGTCATAGAAATTTGTACAAAATTTTCATACTTCTTCAGGAATATCTTGCTTTTATTCGAACTTTCTTCTTCGGTATATGGCAAGTACATTTATACGCATAACTGTTTCGAAAATTATAACAAAGTGTTGCTTTTAATAATAAAACATAAAGGTTATATTTAAGATTTCCCTTTATGAGAGAAATCCTTTTAAAAGAAAGGAATTACATATTTTTTAACTATTTCTGTATCTTTAATACTAATTTCTAATAATTAAGGTTAAAATAATTAAGTAAGGATATGTAAGTATTTCGAATTAGGTATGTAATTGAATATTTTGTGAAATAGATACATTTCAATGAGTTACTTTATTAGAAACAGCTAAAATATAATTTTTACTTTGTAATTAATATACAGATTTACATCATTTACAAATTACAGCAGTTATGTAACATTTTATTTTGAAGCAGAACAACATCCTCAAAAGCCTGTGATTGTAATGAATTAATTTTCTCTTGCTTATTATCGTTTTGAAGAAAAAAAAACTCATTTTTACTTTTAATTTTAGCTTCTAATATATCCCTATACGTTGTGGTTTTACCTTTCTTTCCCTTTACTCTGATTTAAATTAATCTATAGACCTTAATAATATAAATATATTTCATGCTTAGTTCTTTGAACGCATATAATTTCTCCTAAAAAATGCAAATTTAAGTTTTAAATGAAAAAAAGGACTTTTGTAACTAAAGATCATATGCCAAAAAAATATTTTAATTAAAGGAAATATGTACAAAAGTTGCTACCGTTTTCCTTTTCTTAAAGACGAAAATGAATTAACATTGTTACTTTAGAACATAGATATTTTTCCATCTCAGAAATAGTGATAGATATTTTAGGATAATAGACAGAATATACATATCAAAATACAACTGTGTAAAATTATATAAAAATATATTATATAGAATGTGTTTCTGTCATTGTAATTTATTATGCATGAAACATTCGTCAGAACAAAAACTTTTCAGTTTTAGATTTCAGTTAGTTTTTCTAACAATATATACTTGCATTTTAATGACACTGAAAATAAAGTAGCAAAGAATAACTAAAGTGATACGTAATGCAGGTAAAATTATGTCACCAGTTATCGTTACAAAATAATAATAAAAAGAAGGAAGAAGATAATATGCTTATCTTATTTTAGAAATTGACAGGCGATATGGAAAAACGTTCCCATTCTCATGCCAGGTTCTATAAAACTGTGCAGCAGCACAAATAATAATCTATACTGCAAGATGAATTAAAAAGTTTTATCCTTACTTCAGATTAGTACTCATCCTGGAACTATATTAAAGAATCCAACAGAATTCTGTCAGTAAAAAGTTTTACAGCCATAGAGGAGTAAAATTTTAAAACACCGATCATAGTTCCTTCTCAGAATATGCGATGCTATACCGTTATATTACGCCGAAGTTTAATTTCTAATTTTCTTTCAGTTTTTCTAGGACAATGTTTTCATTGAACGTACTTTAATAATTTAATTCCATTAACGGAATGAAGGCAACTCAGGTAAAACGACTTTGGTGAAAAGGAAACAAAATCAGAGGACACACGTCGATATAACGAGTGGGAACTTGGGGTATGTTGTGGATGAACCAATGCGATATCTTAATCTTGCTGCTGTAAAGTTTTTACCAGGCAGAACAAGAATTCATTTACGTGCTTTATTACAATCATAAACTATTCAAACTCTGCTTGATGCAAGAACTGCAACAATGCAAGTCCCAGTTGTTAGCTAACATAAGTAAATGTAGCATATCATTTCAGATTTTTTTTAATTTGAAAGATTAAGTATAAACGTACATGTTCATAGTACATTTAAACTTATGCAACCCCAATTTTGTCCTCATGTTCTAGTAGACACAGATGTGCACCAAAACAAAATTATTACTTTTCTACAGTGTAAAATTCGTCATCTCAAAATTCATGATATTTAGGAGTCTAAAGCTTTGTTTTAAACTAAAAATTAAACGTGCTTACGTTTTTAACTTATTCGACTTATCGAATCTACTTGGATTTACCTTAAAATTACTTGTACCAGAGAAAAGTTATTTTAAAAATGTGCTGATAGATTTAACTTTTCTATTCTTAGTTCCTTGATAAATAATTGATATTATACCTCTTTTCCTGCTTTGAAATCAAACATGATTCTTGTAAAAATGTCGTAAATAACTAAACAAGTAAAAAAAGTTAATGCGATGTATGTAAATCGGGATATATTTTTTGTACGTCCAGTTAATTCTTTATTAATTAAAAATTCATAAGACCAGTATAAAAGACTAAATCAGTAATGCTTTATCGGTTTGTTTCAGAGAGAAGTATTATATCATATGTAAGCGAACTTCATCAAAAATGATTGACGTAATTTTCCTTGCCTTTAGCAATTATTTAAGTACTGCTTGTAGCGGCGTTTCAAAAAAGCGAAAGGTTCATTTTTTAAATGTTGGTAGTTTCCTGTCGTTCTTTCTAGTTTCATCTAAAATTTTAAATCTTCTTTTTAACGTTAATTTAGTTTAATCAACAATCTGTAATTTTTAAATACTCAATATTACTGCCAAAGACCTAACTTTATTTCTTGATTTTCTTTATCTGAAATCAAGAACTGCATTACCTGCCCTGTAAACGCTAGTTCTTATCCAAATGTGCATAACATTGCTATAATCTTAAATACCTCTTCTGTAAACTAAAGGAAAAAGCTGTTTCGAGTCTTTACTCATTTCACTGAGTTCAGGAGCGTATACTTCTATCTGCTTTAATTAACGGCCTAACTGTTGCCTCTTAAGGCCTATTTACATATTGCTTAGTGTCTCGTATTTTAAAGGCTTTTCCTACTTAATCATTCTACAAATACTCATAATTATGTTTTTCTTTCATAAAAATAGGAAAAGCGTGCTTTAGGGACCGCTGAAAGGATCTCAGCTCATCTTAATAAGGACCGTGACTTAATACATTATAATACCCGAGAGCATACGAGAATATATTCAAATAAAAACCCATTTGAAGCTCGTAAAGACTATAAATTTACTTAGATATTAATTCTGAGAAGTTCTGAGAAAAATTCAAATATTGTTTTTGAATTAGATCTTTAAAACATAAATGCATTATTTTCACATATAAAATGGATTACCATACTTTAAAAGCGCTAATTATATTCTTGTTGACTTAACCTTCTAGCACGCGAGTATGCGCAAAATTTACAACAAATTCTGTTTTTAATGCACATTTTTCGCATATTATTTTTCGCTGAGACGTCTGAAAATCATTTCTATTCCTCCTTTCTACCCTTCTCCACATCATGGAATGTGCCAACAGGAAGTCATTTGATTTTTCTTTATTTTTGGTGGGCTTTTGTGCTACGTGGGAGCAGCTTTTTCGTAAAAGTTACAACACGCGCGTTGTCGTGGGTGAATTCGGAAATATTTTTTCCTCCAAGATTGTAATTTTTTTTAAATTCCGTGTATACTATTTTATACATTTTACTCTGATTTTTCATCGGTTTTCATGGGAGAAACATATGTGCCCGCTGATTTTGCTCGCATTTCAAGATTATCTGATGAGGAAAGGAAGACAAGGAAACTTTGGATGGAGAACAATAGCGTTTCCAACCTTTTTTCTTCATTTCAATTTTTAGAAATAAATAAAATATTAAAGTGCGTTTTTGAAGTAAGAGGTAAACTTCTCAGAAGTAAGTATGCTAAAACTTACTTTTTTATACCAAAAGATGAGGGCGTTTTTCCTTTTTATTTGTCTATCTTGCTTTGAATATTAATTCTTTTGATTTTAAATATATTATTAAGAATAAATTTAAATCTTCTATAATGAAATACATCTTGCGTTTCCATCTCAAACATAAAACTTAAAAATTTTACTATCTTTGAATATGATATCAGTGTATTGGCAAATAAGTTCTATTTAATTCTTAACAATTTATTATCAATTCACTCTTTCTGTCGTTTTTCGTGCCAAAAACGGTAAAATAACGGATGTCGTAAAATATATGACGCGCGCCTGCTGGTAGGTTAAGTTATAATGCTAATATATTAATTTGTATTTATTTACCTTAATTATTAATAAATATGAATTAATATATTTTCATTATTATCAGTTTTTGACTGTTAATGATTTTAATTAATAATTGCAAACTTCTTCCTCTAACTGAATTATTTCCTGGCAAAAAGAGTTTCATTTACGCCATATATAGGGTACACGTTCAAACGAAAAATTAAATTTCACTAACTTTTTTTTGGCTTATACTCATGGGATCGGCTGTACACAGGATCAGTAGTATGTAAAATCGACACTGCATAACGATGAGCAAAGACACATCGAAAAATTGCCACTAAAATACGACCGACACACTAACCACCGGTATATGATCGACACGCTAAAAACGAAATTTTGTATGTATTAAACAGTAAGAGGATTAATACACATTTTATTAGCTTCATAGAATCTCCAGAAGCATACGACTGACTTGCGTAAGCTCGATACCGGCATACCACCAACACTGTGAAGGATCGGCACAGCTAACGGAACTGCCATTGTGTATAACAGATAGAATAGATACTGGTAAACAAGATCGACAAGATGTAGGATAGACACTGACGTACAATAGACATTGGCATTGCATAGCAAGGCTTAAAATTAATAAAGGCGCATAATTAAAAGGAAAGAATTTGATTATGCTATTAGTTTCTTAGGATAAATGCGCAGGATCGGCTCCGATATAGGAAAAAAAACTTTTTTTTAAAAAAACTGCCATTCAGTAGTTATATGTAAAAGTTATAGAAATACTTTCTACTAATAAATTTCAAACTAATAAAGTTCAAAC